CAGGATTAATGGGCACTGAAGGATTTTGAGAAGAGAAAGACTTAGTAAAGTAAATCCGCCATCACACTTACAGTAGCAAGAGAAGAGCTTGGTGTGCGGGGACCTACGCTGCTCGGAGCAGGATGGCGGTGTGGAGTGAGCTCATGAGATCCAGAAACCTCCTGCTTGTCATCTCCATTCCTCTTCTTCTGCTTCCTCTGCCACTATTGAACCCCAGCAGTGTAAGTACCCTTCCGCCATCACTTCCTACTTCTGAACTTTGCTTAAACTTTATCGGACTTATTCACCTTATTAAAGAGGGCAAAAAAGGAAAGTTTGGTTTACCGCTGTTTGGTTGCTGTTGGTTTCTGCACTTTAAATATTGTTTTTTCTGTACTGCTTTATAGTGAACTGACAAAACTTGGCCATAACTGACCTCATATGTTAGTGAATAAGGATTACCCAATTACCAATGACATGTGTTTGTTCTGTAAATTGGAATGTGAAGGTCTGATCGGTAGCTGTAAGCATCACAGGCAGTTCTTATTTTGTGTAACTGAAACTGGGTTTAATTAACAGGAAAGTTGCATTGTGCACAGTGCATAGGGCTTCAACAACCTATTGGGTATCCCCTTTTCACTGATCTGAATGCCCATGTAGGGCAAAGTAACAGGTTCACTTTAAAGCTGAACTCACAGATGAAATACATATGAGGGAGCTGGTTTCCCTGCCAAAGTATTAGTATTTCTGTTCATCCAGTCCTGATTTTTACACAGCACTGCCCCACAGCACAGCCCTGTCTGGCAGGGTAGAAGAGCTGATTATTCTCTGCTGCGGTTCAGTAACACTTAAAGATCTTCTTCCTCCCACCCTGTGACTGGACAGTGAAAGGAGTAGTAGCAGACTAATAAGCTAACCTCTATGCGAATCTCTCTTCTCTCCTTCTATCAGCATGTTACTTGAACTGCAGGGTAATTGACTGGTCCCTTGTGCTGTTTCCCCCCCCTTCTCCTAGTCTGAGCCCTGCTGCACATGACCTATAGGGGGCTGATATCAGGCCAGATTTGGGTATTTACACTGCTTGCATTACAAATACATTTAATATAATAATAATAATAATATATTAATTAATACTGAGCGGCAAAAATGTTGTCTATTATGTTGACATCTACCTGGTGTTCAGCTTAAATGGCAGCCCAACAGGCAGTTTATAATCTCCTTCTTTCCCCACACCCCACTGTTTAGCTGCTGTACTGAAGTAAGAGAGCTTTATATAAGCTCCAAGTTGCGACTTTGGCGCTTGGAGAACGCTGCGGACTCTCTATTACCCCTAATTGTCAGTGTCTGAATGGCCAGTCGCCATGCACCAGTGTTGTCACATGGCAGGAAGGACAGTAAGTCTCATGCCCCTCCCCCCCACCCCTTCCCCAGTATTCAGATGTACCCAGTAATTTTGTGAACGCACTGCTTTGCCCTTATTGGGGAAATGTGAAGTCATAGCTGACCTTCTTCTGAAAATGCTGGTTTTCTGACTTTCTCTGGCCTCTAAACTTTCTAAACCCACAACCCAGAACAAGCATGCAGGTAGCAAATGAAAGTTGTGACTCCTGATGCTCAAATTTATTCTAAGTCAATGACCCAGAAAGTGCTGAAAACTTTGGATCAGCATGTCAGCCAGGTAAATAGAGTTTTCAGAAGGAGGGTGCAGCAATGACAGCCCAAATGTAGATGTATGTAAATGACAGATCTGGGCCTCATTTCTATTGACTAGAAGAAGTAGATGGAGATTCCACTCTTTTATGTAATTATCCTTTAGACATGTCAAATTGTTTTGTTTCGGATCCATTCTTCATTTTTATTTCTTTTGTTTTTCGGATCCGAAATTTTATTCGGATCGTTATACTCATTTCGGATCCATCCGAACATTCGCTTCAGAACAAAGTCACATGACCATGCCTGTAATGCAACCCCCAACAGCCAGAAAACCCATCTGATTGGCCAGAGAACAGTCACATGTCCAAATTAGTTTCATTTTGAACGAAATTCAGATGGATCAGAATTTTTGTTAAACAAGCATTTGCATTTGCTCGCAATCAGACACATTATAATTCGGATACATCCAAATGTCCAAATCTAACGAAATTTGAGCAAGTATCAATTCAGAACTACATGAAATTTACTTGTCTATTATCCATAAAACCTGGACCTTTCATGACATGCTTAGCAAAATAATGTTTAGTAGATTTGTTTGAAAGGGACGAAGAGGCCGGCTGCTGGGATGCCTATTATGGGTAGATCAGAAATCTAGAAGATTGGAAACTTCAACTTGAAGGTCTATATCAGGGGTAGTTTAAAAAAAGGGTATATCAGGGTACTTTAAACATGACTACATGTCCCAACTATGCTGCCAGAGTCTAGTTATGATGCCGTCTTCTCCAACATGTCCAGTGTAACACATAGAAGTTCACTCTGTCTCTCCACACTCCATGTGCTGACTCACAATTAGTATATAGGCCAGGGGTAGGCTAACTCTGGCCCTCTATGTGTTACAATGAACATGTTGGAGAAGACGGCATCATAAGTGGAGGCATAGATAGATGGGACATGTAGTCATTTTTAAAATGTATGTATAGCCATTTGTGTTTTATTTTGGATTGAGTAGGGAAAGGTTAAAACCCCTAACAGGTTATCATTTGCTGTCTCTGTCCTACTGGAGAGATTTCCCTTCACATCCTGTACTGGAGACGCATGAGGAAAGCAAGGATGATTTCTTCTGGTTGACAGTTGTCACCAAAACATTTGTCCCAACTGAATGGTTTATCCTCACCTCTTGCTCTGGTGACAACTCTAAAATTTTGGATTTCCCATTACTAACCTTTCCCTAATTTATCCAAAACTAGAGACAGATTACATACACTTTTAAATCACAGGAAGTCCTCAGATGCTGCATAAATTCTGATGATAAAACAAAACTGAGCAGTGTTTTGGGGCCACTGTGTTGCTTTGACTGGATGAAAATGATGGTGGGAGTGGGTCACGTAGTTCTGTTCCAGAAAGGGCCACAAGCAGCACGAGTGGACAAAGAAGCCACACTGGAATTTGGGCAAATGATGGGAAGTTTTCATTAGCTGCAGAACCACCGAGGGCACAAATATAATCTATTATATAGGAATAAGGGAATATTACCCTACAGCTGGTCTCCGAGTTCAGGCTCAAATACAGTTAGGGCACTGGATAATCCATCCAGTCAGGGGACTAAAGAAATTGAAACCAGTGGGGTTGCCATTTCTGTAATATTCAACATAATTTGTCCTTATTTTGGTAGGTTTTGTAGGTGACTTAGATCTCATCTGCCTGAAGACCTAGCAGGTGATAACTCCCCCACCCTCCCTTCCCTGTTCCTCTCTTTTTTCATTAAAGTAGCTCCCTTTTCCGGTAAAGAATACCAGCATTATAATCTCTTCCCTATTAATTCTGTTGGAAAGCAGTCCCATTTTTCTAGTCTGAACAGTAAAACACTGGCAAGGTGAGAACCTACTCTCCACCCCAGTAACAGCAATACTTTCATTTAGTAAGCCACGAGAGAGCAAACCCACTGCATTAGCACAAGGAACTCCTAAACAGGAAGGGGCATACCGTGTGTGTTTGATGGCATGTGTCCAGCATTGCAGTGTGCATAACAAGTCTTACCAGAAATGCCTGAAAGAAAAACAGAGGGACTGTGGGAGCAGGCTCTGAGACACTCATTAAATAGTACGATTCAGGACAGGTAACATAAGCAGATAAAAATATGACAGCACTTCATGGAAACACAAAACAGCCTCCCATCACTTGCTTCAGGGAATAATTTAAACTGGAGGGTTGGTGATGACCATGAGATAATGAGTACATGAGCTGTTTGTAATGAAAAAATGGACATGTCATGAATGCTAATCATGGAAGACAATATTTATTATGCATTCCCCAATTCAAATCAATCTGAGCATGGTAAGAAAAAAGAACAATAAACAAATGTAGGTGTATCTACTGCCAGGTGGGCTAAGAAGAGTAAGAAATGGTAAAAGCCTATCGTATTTTTCTCCTGTCTTTATCTGGCTTGGACATTTTCTTTTTATTTCCTGTCCCAGAAAAGCAACAGGATGTAGAGAGGAAATTTCCCCAAAAAGTGGGGGAAGTGGACACCAGAACAGATGTCTCCATTGGAATATTTCCCATCATTTCCTATTCTGGTGAGAGCCGTAAAGTGCCTCACAGCAACAGACAGTAGTAAAAAGGGTTCTACCCCTTCCCTACTCTTTCCAAAACTAAATAAAAGTTATGGTTTTACATACATTCTGTTGTTAATATTACTAAAAAATACTTACTTTCCCTGCATTTCTTCCTTCCTCCCTCCATCTTCCTTTCTCCTTTCCTTTCTTCCACCTCTCCCTCTATCTCCTTCATTTCCTCTTCTATTTCTCTCTTCTATCTATTTCTCCTTCTATCTCCAAGTAAAGATTGGGGGTCATTCCATTGGCTTTCAGCACTTACCCATTACCCTTACCCAGTAGCCTGTGTATTCTATCAGGAACAGTCAACACAGGCTTGTAAACTGAATTCAGACTAGGAAATTTAAAGCCTGACTCCCTTGAAACATTGGTCAATTATAACACAATGGACTTTACCTCTATGTATTTATGACAGGTACACTTCAGCAGTCCCTGTTCCACAATCTGACTTTATTTTTCCCTCTGCAGGAATCGTCTTGTGCCTACGTGCTGATAGTGACTGCGGTCTACTGGGTGTCGGAGGCTGTGCCGCTTGGAGCCGCTGCATTGGTACCAGCGTTTCTCTTCCCTCTGTTCGGAGTACTGAAGTCTAGTGAGGTCAGAACATCAACAGAGGCTAAAGTGTGCAGTAGCAGAAACAGACTGCCTGTATTTCTTCTCTGACACAGTACATGACTTGTAACATTTGGCATCCCCACAATTCTTTTGGTTGTGCTGTATCCTAGTAGCGTTGAGCTGTACAATTTGCATTCAGTGGTCATTGCAGTATATATAAATGAGAATGGCAAAGATTGTGGCTCAAAGTTGTAACAGTATATGTGCATGTACATCTAAAAGAATGTTCAGAATACTTGTGGATCTTTTAAACTGCAACAGTTAGGACTTTCCTGTAATCGTTTCAGATTGTAGAGGCACAACTTCCTTCTCAGTACTTGGTTTCCAGCCTCCTCTCTTGCTAAAGGGGGGAGGCACCCATCACTCCGGACATACCTGAACATCCTTTATTTTCCCCATTGCATATAACTTTTTATTAGTTTCTTGAAACTTTGCTCATATGACTTTATTTAAGTGTATCTAAGCCAAAATTGTCTTTTAGCTTTGGATAGAGTACAGATAGGTTTGAGACCATGTCAAGCATAGCACTGACTCCCACCACTTTCCTAGTAGTGTTACAACCAGCAACACCGACAACCAAATGCCACCAGTTAGGTTTCAGTCACTTTGGTCTTTTTGACTTTTTATGGGGAACTCACATGGAAGATGTTTTAGGGATGCAGGATACCCAAAAGTACAAAAGTAGAGGACAGACTGTTCTAAAATAGCAGCAGGCCCTTTAAGAGTGGACTCCAGAAGAACCCTGGTAGTGAGGGAGTAGCCATATACGTCTATGACCCTGCACAAGCAGTCATAGTCCTCCTGTCTCAGAAATCTGGCTTTTGACCCTCTGTGAGAAGACAAAGGTACCTGAGTCTACGGACAAAAAGTTCTTCCAAGGTCCACATGGCTGCTCTGCCTAGCTCCTCTGCAACACTCTTTGGCCAGAATATCCTTTCCACCCCTTCTCCCCTCATGTATACACTCCAGGTTTTGGGCCTTTAGCACATGGACAAGGCCCAGTCAGCAAACCTGTACACCGACATCCTACCATGGGGAGGGCCTGGGGGAAAGAGAACACTTTGGAAAGCTGCCCCACATATTTATTATCTCCCAAACCATACCTCTGAACAACACCATCAGGGATTTGTAAGGTCAACTACACATTCATAACTCAGGTATTGACTTTTCCATTCTGCTTATTGGAGCCTCCGTCACATTAACAAGGCAGAAGCAATCAACCCCACTGAGCTTAGGAAGACCTACAGAGCCAAGAAAAAGGAAAACAACAGCTCAGGCTAGTTACAACTGAGCAACAATACACATTGGGGGGAATTCATAAAACCTGGAGTAGACAGAATCTGGAGCAGTTGCCCATACCAACCAATCAGCTTCTCTTTTCAGTTTGTTCAGCTAAGCATTGAAAATTAAATAGGGAAGCTGATTAGTTACTATGGGCAACTGCTCCAGGTTTTGTATGCTCCAGTTTTGATAAATTCCCCCCACTAAATTAAATTAGGGACACGAAAACTTTGAGCAGGGTCTCTATATAGGCTTACTTTCCTGGTCCATGCTGGAGAAATGTCCCTTCTCAATCTGCATACCTACCATGTGTCCCTCATTTGGAGGGACTGTCCGTCATATGGAACCAAATCCCTCTGTCCCTCTTTACTCCTTCTTTTTTGGTCTGATGTAGAGATATGTATGGAAATAGACCACCAAACATGATATTATGACCATTAGTGCATAATAGTAATGGTGGAAAAAGAAACAATTCTGGGTTTATGGTCCGCATAACTGGGGGCATGCCAGGGGGTGTGTCCATTGACTAAATACATTGGGAGGAATTTATGAAAACTGAAGCGGACAGAATCTGGAGCGGGTGGCCGAGGCAACCAATCCGTTTCTCTCTTCAGTATGTTCAGATAAGTTTTGAAAATGAAAGAGGGAAGCTGCTCCAGATTTTGTGTGCACCAGTTTTGATCAATATACCTCATTGTGCTGGGAGGCGTCCCTTTTTATCATCTCAGAACGTTGTGAGAAATGCTATTCGTCCTGTTGACCAATGTCTCTGGGACAGGAAGTAGGGATTAACCCTTTGCTTCTGGTTGGGTCTCTGGGATAGGAAGTGAAGAGAAATATCTCTAATGGGACACATAATAAGTGAAGGGTAGGCATTCCCTACTGTATAAAAAAAAAAGCTTTTTTTTAGATACTTTAAGGCGAGAAACTATCCCAATTCCTTTTTAAACTGATATTTCAGAGATCCACGAAGGCCCATTGTGGTAACAAACTTTGCCTTGCGATTTGTTTGCCTTTTTTAAAGACCACGGCTATGAGAAGTCCACAACATATTTCTGCACGGGGTCCCTGGGGGGCCCAATTTGTTGATCTGTGGCCTTAAGGCGGATCTGTGAGTTTTTGTAACTCCTGGACAGTGTGGTAAACTAATCCATACTTGGAGATACATTTTGCGCTTATGGCTGGATATTACATTCTGGGAATATTTGCTGAGTTCAAACTGTTTATTGCATACACACATCGATAACAAAAGACAGATCTTGACCTAGACCTCAGGGCCTTGGCCTTCTTCCCTTTTGTCTGGAGCTTCCCAGCGGTGCTGATTAAACCCAGCGTTGCTGGAGTCTCTGCCGCAAATCCCAGCCATTTCATTTCATCAGCATGTTATGCAACAGGCGTAGATGAACTGCTAGCTGTTACAGGACTACAATTCCCAGCATTCCATGGTGCCTGCTGCCCCAAGCATGGGGAAACAGTATTTGACAGCAACTGAGGTGGGGGGGTAGAGATACCTTGTGAAGGGAACGCCAAATATTGTGTCACTGTTGTGTCCATTACTGTACAGCAACTGGAATTTGGGCTAATACATAAACTTTATGGTTTTAACAGGTTTCATAAACACTACATAGACATATGTTGGTTGGTGTGCATTATACGTTTCACTGCTTCAAAATTGAAAATCATTCATTATATTAAAGTATAAGTTATTGTGACTGCCACAGAAGCGGGATCGCCTTAAAGCTGAGCTCCAGGAAAACAGATAAATAGACAATAAAACACATAGACAGGAGCTGGGATATACAGTAAAAGACAAGTCCTCGTTTTGGTCTAGGGGATAAAATATAAAAAATATACTCACCTGGTCCTCCATCCTTCAGCAGTGACCGCTCATCTCTCTCTCTCTTCACTCCAGCTGTGGTATGTCCCTCAGTATCCTCACATCCAATGCAAGTCAATGGACTTGTATTAAACATGAGGATGTTGGGGGGACTTAGACCACCAGAGCACAGGGGAGAAGAGACTGAAGGGACCGATCTAGCAGCCAAGCAGGATGGAGGATCAGGTCAGTATATCTTTTTTATTTTAGACCCTAAACCAAAATGAGCACCTTACCCTTGCAGTGTTGGGGGTAGCCCCATTGCAATGGTTAATTTGTAATTTGCCCCTGGGTTCTTCTTTAAAAATCATGTTAAAATGTTATCATACATGTACACCAGGACAGGCAGAGCGGCATGGCTGCTATGCAGCACAATGTTCGAAGTGTACCTGCTGCCACCTTTCTGACCAGAGCGTCACAGGTTGCTAAGAGGCATACAGGGTGATGTGTAACAACCACACACATCTCCTCACCCAGCTCTGGCCCCTGGGACACTCTGGCCGGTGTCTCACCCAGTTACCGGCAACCAGTGATGTCAAGAGGCAATTGGGACGCTGGCCATAGTTGGAGCCAGAGCTCGGCAGGGAGATAATACAGAGGCCCCCCATACAACCCACCCCACCACCACCCCTAATCCCACCATGCCTCAGGCAGCAAAAAGGCTAGGGACACCCCTGCCCGCAGCTGATTAGTAGACACAGAAGGAGCTTCCTTTGTGTTCAGGAGGAACTCCTTCTGTGTTCAGAGGACCAGATTTGGTCCAAACCTGGGCTTATCCCTAATGAGGAATAAGGTTAAGTACTTAACTTTTTTATAAGTCCCCTGGCAGCTTGCACTCTACAACAATCCGGGGATGTGGTCTGACCCTCAGTGTCCTCACATACAATGTAGGACCATTGATATTTTATTATTTTATTTCTATCGCTCTAGACAAAAACAAGCATGTAACCCTTGCAGTGTGGAGGTGGGACCCACTACAAGGGTAACTTTTTTCCAGGCCGGGATAAAGTGTTTTTTTTGTGGGGGGGGGGAGGGGGCTTTTTTTCCATTTTGCCTATGTAGAAGGTAAGCAAATGAAATCCCCTGCCTCTGGCTGTCACCTTGTCTCGTACACAGGCAGCACATGGTCTGTTTGGAGTAGAAGGCATAACATTATAAACATTCACTTCCTCAGTGGGGTGTCGGAGGGATCAGGAAACACAATGCAGCCTTTCAGCTATGTGGCCACGGGACTCCAGCCCACTCAAATAAGCAGCGTTTTATTAGAAATAACTGCAGATGAATCAGAGGAGGGGAGGCTGGGAAATGAGGTCATCCCAGTGGGGCAAAGGTGGCAGGGCTGCCAAACACGTCACCAAGGTTACTGAACAACTCTTACAATGGCAGATCTGGGGCAAGAGGACCTATCCTAGAAACACAACATGAGCAAGGGGGCATTGAGGGTCATTGTATCACACTAATTGTAAGACAGATTAAAGCAGAACTCCAGCCAAAAATAACTAGATTAAAATGAACAGGCCATTAAAACATCAAATAACAAAACCAGCTTTGGCTGCAATATTCATCTTCAATCCAGAGATTTCCCCCACTGTACTTTTTTTCTGCTGCTGGATATCCTCAATCTGATGGCCATAATCATTCAACCCACTTCCTCTGAGCCCAGTTCGTCCTGGCTCTGCCCCCAACCTGTGACTGGACAGTGAAACACGTAGCAACACAGTGATGAGCTCATCTGTAACTCTGCTGTTTCCTCCTATCAGCATGCTTATTTTCAGCTCATGAACTGATTGGCTCCATCAGCTGCTTCTCCCTCTCATATTCCAGTCCTACCTTATAGGGACTGCAAGAGGTTTATACCAGATCACATACAGGTACCTATAGTAATGACATACAAAATGAATGATGCAGTAATGAACACAGAGCTGTATTAATGTGTATTTTACATCTCCCTGGAGTTCAGTTTTAACATGATATACTATATTTGTAATACACCTTATGATAGGACTCATCAGTGATGCAGGGGGTCACTTCCTGTCCTGGTGACAACTGGTCACCAGGAAAAAGAGAGAATGAGGGTAAAAGAGAGAGAGAGAGAGAGAGAGAGCGAGAGAGCGAGAGAGAGAAAAAGAGTGATAGAGAGAGAGACACAGCAGTAATATCCTTCCAGGGTTCTAACTCTTCCCTGCTCTATCCAAAAAAAACAATCAAGTATTTTAAATACAGTACTTACTTTTCTATTCACTTGCAATGTGCGTGCAAGGAAATTTGACTACTCCTGAAAGTCTACTTCCTGTACCGCTTTCTCCTCTTCTGGGAGTGTGTACTTATTCTCTATGCTGGCCTAAACCTCGTGGATGCCTTCCCAGAAGAGTTGAAGCTGTTATAGCTGCAAAGGGTGGGCCAACTCAATATTGAACCCTACGGACTAAGACTGGAATGCCATTAAAGTTCATATGCGTGTAAAGGCAGGCGTCCCAATACGTTTGGCAATATAGTGTATGTTAAAGAAGAACCCCAGGATTTTTAACCCTTGCAGTGCGCGGGTAGCTTCCAATAACAATATGGGGCTGATTTATATTTTTTTCCACCCTGCATATGGCTGGATGAATGCTGTTTGCACAACACTGCCACCATTAGATGGCGCTGAGGAGCATAGGAAATGCTCCTCAGCGCCATCTAGTGCCAGCACTGCTGTGTAAACGGCATTCCCCCAGCCATACGCTGGATGGAAGAATTATAAATCAGCCCCATATTGTTATCGGAAGCTTGTTGTTGAAAGGAATGGTCTAGTGCAGGAGTACATATGCTCCGGCCCTCCAACTTTGGTAGAAAGCACAATGTTTAGAGCGCACTCCTGTAGGTCAGACACAACTCTGGAGATTATCTACTGGTGGTGTGCGAAACTCCTCATAACAGGGTGAGGGACCCTGTGCACCAATAATAAACAAACAGACTCTTCTTGGAGGAGCGCTACTACCTGGAATCACTTTTATGGGCAATGCTTGTATCAAATACGAGCATAGAAAAACAATCTTCTAGAATGGAAAGGATGTAGACTTACAGTTAGGATATGGGAGACTCTGCCCAAATCTTCACTTCAGGATGTGATGGTCAGGTCCTTCTATCTGGCAGAGTGGCTGAAAAGGGGCTGGGCTGAATGGCTAAATCCCTCAAGTTGTCAGATGTTGAGCTGGTCTTAGAACATATCTGCAATATTGGAGCCGCTTACGTACTCGGCTGGCCAGGCCGGGCCGCGATGGCTGAGATAGGGAGAATGTGAGGGAGAGAGCGAGGAGCCGCGAACAGCGCTGGAGCGCCCGATGCCGTATGTATTGGCAATGCTGTCAGGCTGCTGTCTCGAGGTGTCCGATGGTCTCGCTGGCAACGAAAGTCGCTGAGGACTGAACGGGGGGTGGAGGTGCACGGTGGGTAGACGGCTACGCGTTTCGAGGAGATTCCTCTTTATCAAGCCACAAGAACCTGTGGTGCAACTGCAAATCCCATTAGCAATTGCAAGACCCTGACAATCACAGGCATGACTCCCAGAGGAGTTTCGCCACAGCTGGAGGGCCTGAGTTTGCCCACCCCTGGTCTAGTGACAGGGTCTCTTAAAAATTTGACCCAAAACCATTATTTATTATTATCTTTACAACACACTAATAATATTTTCATTCTGCTGATCTCTTCCACATATCGTCCTAACATTGTACATAAGCCTTTCGATCCTCTATACTTTTCCTGAAGATGTGATCATTCTCAGTACACATGTTTCCGGATTCTTCCCCCCGGGGAGTCTTTCTTCCCCAGAATTTAAGCAGAAAGTTATAACAGAGAACGTTATTTAGAGTTCCACCTAATCACAAGAGTCCATTATAATAATGAATTTCTGATGTATGAACTCAGTCTGGAAGTGGATCTCCCAGCTGTTAATATGACATGTGACACGTTCCCGTCTTTTTCATGTATCGCGCTTTTCACCGCGCTCATACGGTCTTGTTTATATCCTGACTCTATTTTATAAAGCCCCCACCGTGATCAGTTCAGCAGAATCACAGACGTCGCTTTCCCTGGAAAAATGACGACACTAATCATCCAAATTCCCAGCAGATTTCACAGTAATTACATTTTTTATCACTGTGCAGAAATCCCCCAATAAAAACAACTTTTATTGTGTGTTCAGCTGAAATAAAGATAAAATGAACAATGTGATTACCTTTCACCGGGTCATTCATCATGATAATTCTCCCTTCGCTGGTTTTATAATGGCGCTTACACATCAGACAGATCAGGGGGAAAAAAACTATTCATATTTCACAGTATTCACTAGAAAGTATCAAAAGCTAATCACAGACAATTCATTTATTTAGGTTTGGATAGAGTGAGGAAGAAATAACATTTTGCCCAGGTTTTGAAACTATCTGTGACCCCATTGTATAAATGTGTCCTCGCTTCCTGTCCCTGTGGCACCTTACAGGAAAAGGGGGTGAGATGGTTGTGATGAGACAGGAAGGCATGGACTGCAACAAAAACACTTTAGATTCTTGGTTCTCAACTGGTGGGTCATGACCCAAAAATGGGTCGCGAGCCCATGTTCAGTGGGTCACCACATGCCTTCCACTTTTCTAGGTGAGAGTCTACTCTGCCTCCCCCTAGCACAACACTGCCAGTTCTCGTGCCAAGCAGCCATTGAAAATATGATGCTCGGAGCCGAGTGTCAGCTTTTGGTGGGAATAGGATGGTGCTATGGCCTAGAGGGAGCTCCATCCATACGTGCATTGCTTACAGCTCCCTTGCATGTTCTGTAGAGGTGACTGGACCAGAGTGACGTCACATTCCGGGTCCTGACACCTATCCAGGGCACACAAGGGAGCTCTACAAGCAATACACACCCGTCACAGCACAGCAGAGCAGCCCACACTGGACCCCAGGCTGAAAAGAAATTGAGATTGTGTGTGTCTGTCAATGTTTTTGAGGGCCCGCTCACACTAGTACAGTGCGTTAATCACACAGTCCCGTGCGATTAACGCACTGCAATTGCACCTACCGTGCATTCTGGTGTGGGAGGTATGTTGCGTTGCCATTCATTTGAATGGTACCCCAAATTCACCTCCCGCCCACAGTTCGTACGCCCGCACCAGATCGTGTGGTACTCTAATGCCATGCGTTCCATTGCAGTGCGACTTGGGTCACGACTTCATGACTAAGAACAAATGTGGGTCCTGAAGTTACACCGGTTGAGAACCACTGCTTTAGATATTCCAACCCTTCCCCAGCCTACCTTTTTTTTGTGTCTGGTCCTCATTAGATACATTTGCCATTACATCCTCTCCTGACGGCAAACATGTTGCCTGTAATGGGACTTTAAATGTATTTTTTTATTGTAGCTAGTTACTATAAGTTACTATAACTTATAGTTACTATAACTTACTATAAGTTTGGTTCACTATAGTTACTATAAGTACCTGAATTTGTTGCTCCATCAGTTTCCTGTAATCTCCTACACAGCACCTATCTAGAAAGAAGACCAGTACTTGGGGCCAATCAGATTCAGAAAGCTGGGGGTGTGCTTGCTGTGCTGTATCTTCTCTTGCAGAGGGTCAGGACCTGACTGTGATGTCTGGCAGGGGTTCTTAGGTCACAAGACTGATTGATCAGAATTAGAAATCCTTTAGTAGGTACAGCAGTTCACTCATAAGCCAAAATGACTTGTATAGCTGTCTATCCAGTCCTGAGATTTACACAGCTCGACTACCACACATCACAGTACTGCCTGGTAAGAGCAGGACCTGATTCTCCTCTGCTGTAGTTCCAATTACACTTACAGGTCTCCTCCCCACTCAGTGACAGGACAGTGAAAAGAAAAGCAGCAGACTGATGAGCTCATCTCTCTGTTACTCTGCTCTCTCCCCCTATCATTATGTGTCTTGCATTGCAACACACCTAATTGGCTCCTTGTGCTGCTCCTGCCTCCCCCAGTCTAAGCTTTGCTGTACATGGACTGCAAGAAGCTAACACTAAGTCAAATAAGAGTGCTTAGACTGCTGGCATTTAAAAAAATGCCATCTGCCACAAAGTTACAATGTTGCAGTCTGATCACTGGGGGAGAGGAGACTGAGCAAATGCTTCCTCCTGCCTGCAGCAGACTGATGACATCATCTCATCCCAGGCAATGTTACTAGACTGGATTTCAAAGACTTTTTTAATGATAAAATTACATCTGTTTTGAAAAATGATATTGTTGCTGTATATTGTAACACGTGAGGAATGTATTTATTTCAACTTGTAAATGTATTGGGTCCACTTTAAATATTGACTTCACTGTAATAGTTTCTTCCTGTAGGTGGCTGCAGAATATTTTAAGAATACAACGCTACTGCTGATGGGAGTGATCTGCCTGGCTGCGTCTGTGGAGAAGTGGAACCTCCATAAAAGGATCGCCCTGAGGATGGTCATGTTGTCTGGGGCAAAGCCAGGCATGTGAGTAGATCGATTTCCACGTTAGGGATATGCCAGCCTGTGATTTGTAGTAGTTAGCTAACTAGGGTTATGCCAAATGCAATCTAAACGAGAGGTGTGTTATGTGGTACCATGCATTCATTGTAATTAACACATGGCCCCGGTGTGAACCTTTCTGACCATGTTTCATGGTCAGCCATATTGGGTTATATCGCAAACCCCCCAACCTGACTTCCATCCGCGCCGCCCCATTTACCTGAATTGCTGGGTTCCTCTCCCCACAGGCTTGTTTACATTTTTTTATTTGGCCCAGCTGTATATGGCTCCACCTTAGACAGGATCTGTGAATGGAGAGACAAGTCCTACCAGCCACTGCTGAAGAGGGAAATGTAGTTCTCAATACAATACAAGTGTAGTGATGTCACCTAACTTATAGTCCATTGACACCTTATCCACCTCCCTGTTACTGTACTTACAGTACAGACATGGACGGGAGGAACAGTCTGCAGCAGCCAGAGCATTGCACCCATGTTACACTGTTTGCGATTGCAATGCTTTACTAGCTCCTATGCAAAAAAATAATAAATGCACATTATACATTCTGTACATTCACATAAGTCCCTGCCCTCAAGGAGCTTACAATCTAAGGTCTCTATCTCACACACATACATACAGGGCTGATTTAGACAGGAGCCAATTAACCTTCCAGCATGAAACTGGAGTACCCGGAGGAAACCCACACTAGCTCAGGGAGAACATGCAAACTCCTTGCAGATGGTGTTGTGATCGGGATATGAAACAGGGCCCCAGTGCTACAAGGTAGAAGTAATAACTAGGGATGCACCGATACCGGTATTTCAGTATCGAGCACCGATATTTTTTTTTTTTGGTACTCGTCGATACCGAATACTGGTACCAGAAGTCCCGTTAAGGAAGCTAGGTGGCGTGTAATGACTTGCCACCTGGCTTCCTGATTAGCCGGGAAGCCGTCCCCATGCTTCTCGTCACTAGGTGACGAGAAAGCATGGAGCCGGCTTTCTGGCCAATTCCTGATTGGCCGGGAAGCCTGCTCCATGCTCCCTCGTCATGAGTTGAGGAGGGAGCATTAGGCCGGCTTCCCAGCCAATCAGAAAGCCGGGTGCCGTATCATTACACGGCGCCCGGCTTCCTGATTGGCCAGCTTCCCTACCAATCAGGAAGCTGGACAGTGAGTCATCACAAGTGACGAGGGAGCACGGAGTTAGCTTCCCGGGCCCAATCAGGAAGCCGGGCAGAGTGTAACGACTTGCTGCCTGGCTTCCTGATACCGGAAGTATCGGGCTAGGCACCGGAGCAATTACTCGGCATCGGCACAGATACCGATACTAGTATTGGTATCGGTGCATACCTAGTAATAACCATTGAGCCACTGTGCAGCCCATAGTTCAGATGCTTATATAAAGCATTGTATCGCTAGCTCAATTCCTCCATATAGACTGGCAGCACAGCGCCCCCTGCAGGCTACTGAATAAAACAGTAACCTGTAAAACACTGGCCAGATCTGAATGAGTCATTGAAGGTTTATGGATAATATGTTGTAGTGTTAGAACAGTAATAGAGCCACATTACAGTGCTGAGGAATTGCTCTTTGTGTCCTGCACAGGCTGTTGATGTGTTTCATGTGTTGCACGGCTCTGCTCTCCATGTGGCTCTCCAATACTTCATCCACCGCCATGGTAATGCCGATTGCAGACGCCGTTCTGCAGCAGCTGATCAGAGCTGAAGATGAGCACGAGGGCACACTGGCCAATGGTGCATCTTCAGCTGAAAATGGACAGCAGAAAGGTAACTATTCTCTACTTTCACTGCATGTGATGGCTTTTTTTCCTTTGTGTAGGCCCTTGAATTGTCCCTCAAGGTAAAGTTTTCACATTATCCATGTTTCTGTAGACACAGATGCATGTATGGACTGCAGCTTTATTAGTTACAGACTACATCTGGCAAAGACTCTGCAGTTCTCTAATGGCAACAAGTAGGATTGAGACCTTTCTCACTAGATGCAGTGAGTACAACAAGAGCTATACGCATATAGGGAAAGAAGATGGTCAACGTGACCCTGTCAGGTCACACAAAATGTAGCTATAGGTTCACTGTGAGAGACAAATTCTTATATCATCCTCCTATAGTGTCCTACCTCCCCTCCCTTGCAGGGCTGATGTCTCCCCCTGACTCTTCTGCATTTGACACTTCCAGGAGTGTCAGATCTCTGTGTCGCCCACCATGAGTCGTGGTTCCATCCGATCCCTACGTCACTACCGTGTGCTGTAGTTATGTAGGGGTCATAGCAGTGCTGGGACAAGATCCTTTAGCACTCAAGGTAAAAAGGCCAAAGTGTGCCCCTCCAAGAGCTGTAAACTACCTTAGCTGCATAGGTTGCAGGTCCTGCTCTTTCTACACCCCTTTCCTACTGAGGTGCCCAGGATGGCCACCTCTTCTACTTACCCCTCAGAGGATGGAACCACAGCACACTGCAGGGGGCACAGGGAGTGTGAAATACAGAAAAGCCTGGTAGAGGTTGTAGAGCTGGAATGGAGGGAAGGTAAGAGATCAGAGAGGAGAGTATAATGCCTCTTATCTTGCAGGGAACTTTCAGTGATATATATTTGTAATCTGACAGTGTCCCTTTAATAAGTACTTTTTAGAAATGTATAGACTTCATTGCTCTAATATACTGTATTAGCATATACAATATGTCATAATTAATATATTTAGCATTTATTTTGAGTATTATCATGCAGGTAAGGGCCATACACATCTCCCTGCCCAGCTCTTAGCAACCTGGTGATGCTCTGGACGGCATCCCGTTGCCGGTAGCTGAGCGGGATGCCGACCAGAGCCCAAGTCAGAGGTGGCATGGGAGATGATGCAGAGGGCCCCCACCCAACAACAACCCTTTCACTTACACCACCCGCACACCCCGCCTCAAGCGGCGAAAAGTCTAGAGACACCCCTGTGTACAGACATTGTTGAACTCTCTTCTATTTTATTCATTGCAGGTGGAAAGCAGAATCAGCCTTCCATTGAACTTATATTCATCAATGAAGAGTAAGCATGTATATGTGTATTTAAAATTTCTCCAGCCACTGTGAATAGAAGACGGCTACTCTTTAAATAAAACTATTTTTTTTTCTAGGGCAACAGCCAAGGACCTGAGTAAACTCATCCAGAGCAAGGTATGAGCATCTGTACCCTAGATAACAAAAAAAAAACTCCGGAGAGAGATGGAACTAAAGGTTTTAGAGTATTTAGTCCCAATAGATAAAAGTGAAGCTATTGGGTTGATTTAACTGATCCTTGTAACTGTTTGACATTTACTGGCAGAATCTCAATGGGGTCCATATGATTGCCAATCCGATGACATTTGTGAAGCCTCCCACTAATGGACAGTCCCTTCCACAGGTAAGTCCTCTTCCTATAATGTTTGGTGCTTATCTGTGGCTCAACTGATTGACCATATTATGCAGGAAAGCATGCTGGGACTTAACATCCACAACCTTCATGAGTTCATATCTTCAAGGTTGCTACAGTTGGTCACTAGAAGGGAGATTTGAGGTCAAAATAGGGTAAACCTTATCGGAGAGGACAATCTCACTTTTAGTGAACTTGTCCTTTAATAAAATCCCCATTCCCTCTCAACACTGCCTGACCTGTTAAATACTTCCTTCTTTCCCCGTTTCAACAATCTTCACTGGCAGCCCTGCCTGGTCATCGCTGCTGGGCCCTCTTCTTAGTGTGCACATGCATGCAACCTCATTCATTCCTATATCAATGAATGGAGCTGTGGTGTACTTTATATGTTTTGAACTTTAAAATATATTTTTGTATCAATGACAATCCAAGCATAAAAAGTAATATGTGCCCTTCAAGAGGAAAATCTCTATATATGTTAAAAAAGGGCATTCTGTGCTCATAGACAGATCTATCCTAAAACGATATTATATTATCTTCTACAGACCCAAATTTTGGTTCTTCCTTCTTCTGAGACCAAAGATCCCAAGGAACAAGGAAAATACAGATCCAAACATGACCACATGATCTGCAAGTGCTTGTCTCTCAGTGTCTCCTACGCTGCGACCATTGGGGGTCTGACTACAATTATTGGGACTTCCACCAGTCTAATCTTCCTGGAGCACTTCAAGAAGTAGGTAGCTTGTTGCCATCAATGCCACTTAGATAAATGTTACTACAGGAAATGTCTCAAATCTCATTAATGAATCTCAACAATCTGGATCTCACGTAAAGATCAATGATGACGTGCATAGTGCAAAGTATCCAATCAGACTTTACTTCTGATGACTTCTGATTGGCCGTTAGTGGGTTTCAGCACTTTGCATGTTGCTTTTTGTCCTAATAAAGAGAACCTGGCACTTTGACCACATTAAGCACATAACCTGTATACAACAGTCCATGTCAGCTGAAAGCCCAACTGCAGCCTAAACTTTCATTAAATTTTGGGTAGAGCAAAGTAGAGTTGGAGCCTCCACCTGGTTTGTGTTGATGCCTGTATCCTAATTTGCTGTCAGGGGAGGAAGTGATGGGAAATCTCTCCAACAGGGGACATGAACAAAAAGAAAAAAACATTTTTATTAGAAGAAAGATTGTACCTTAAAGTAATATTAAACTCTCAAACATTTTTTTCAAAAAGAATCCAGATCAAACAAATATACATTGCCCTGCAAAGCATTGCTTTACATTTTTGCCCAAACACTTACAATCATCATGTTTCTGAACAGCTGCTTCCTAGTCTTTCAGCTCAGCTTCCCTGAACTTCCTGTCCAGTACAAGATCACAAGGGACAGTGCAGACTCCAGCAACTGTTCATCTACTAGCTTGGAGAAGGGAGGAGCATGGTCTAGGAGGGAGGGGAGTACCTTGATTTGCTGGCTCTGTGTTTTTGTGGAGACACACACCTTACCAGCACACACACGGGTGACTGCATAGCACTCTGCTTGAGAAAGGAGTCACTCTAAAACAGGAAGTCAGGACCAGTGCTCAGGGGATCAGCTGATTCTGCAGGAAACTAAAACTTTTAAATATCAAGGAGCAGCATCCATTGCAAGTGATTTCATCAGCATTAGAAATAGCTTAAAATCCTTTTGGCTTTAATAGAACTTTAAAGCAAAGTTTTTTCATTCCTGTCCCTTCCTTTCCCAGTGACAGGGACTCCTTCCATTCCTTGTACAGGTGTCACAGAGACAGGAAATGAGGGAAAACCTTCCTAACAGAATGACAGACAGGAATCAAAACTTGACAGACATGTTTACTTTTCCCCTCTCTATCAAAATCTAAAAAAAAACTTTTTGGGTTGGAGTCAGACTTTAATATAATTGCATATCAGTGCTGATGGTACCATTGTGTCCCTAAGTGCTGGTTTTCTCTGTAAAGTATATTATGGATCTACCATATTTAAATTCCCATGTAGAGACCTTGGCTTCTGTGTCCTTCCTGTGTCCAAATACATAGGTAATATCACACATCTCTGCTTTTTGGCATTCACTGAATGCTGAACTGAATTAGCAGTTTGGATTTGGTGGAACCAAGGTCCTTACATCACAAAGATGATACGGATAAATGGTCTCACATTTTAAGTATTTAAAAATGAAATATGTAACGTAGCTTTCTTCTGGAGTATATTCTTCTCACATCTCTTTTGTAAATTTTGTTTTCTTGTCACATTTCATTTTTAAATCTGCAGCCGCTACCCGAATGCCGAGGTGGTCAATTTCGGAACATGGTTTGTGTTCAGCTTGCCCATTACCATCATTGTGCTGCTGCTTACCTGGGTGTGGATGCATTGGTTGTTCCTGGGCTGCAAGTGAGTAACATTGCTTATTCAGTAAGGAAGTATTTCTATAAAGTCACCTTTTAGTAACATCAGAAGTCTGGATAATAAATTCCTGACATGTCACAATAGACAACAAGAAAAGCTCCACCTTTTATCATTAAAGTGACATTAAAGTCCCCCAGTGTTAATTAACCTCCCTGGCGGTCTGATTATTTCCTTTTTTTTTTCCTTTTTTGTTTCTATTTTTAAAAAACTTTTAAATTTCCCGCCGGTTCCGCCCCCCTGCGACAGGGACGCTTGCAAGGGACGGAACCGGGAAGACGGATGCCGGCATCGGCCGGAGCACACAGCGGGGATCGTGGACATGTAAGTAACGCGCTGTGTAATCCCGAGTGTGGCTCTGGGTTACCGCTTTTGGTAATGAAAATGAGCCCCGAGCCACACTCGGGATTACCGCCGGGGAGGTTAAAGCACTTACCTCAAATGATGTTTCTTAATCCGATCTTCTTCTTCTTTCCTGTCCTTTTCATCTGTCCCTCCAGCACTTCAGCGGGTCTCCGATCCAGCGCTGACTCCTCTGTCCTTGCTGGCACTTCCTGTCCCACGCTGTCTGCATGCGGGTGCACGCGTCCATAGACTTACCTTGTGTCTCTCCTTGTGTCTCGGCCGAAAATGTGAACTGCGCAACACCCGCCCCAAGATGCTTTGCGGCCGCCCGAGAATTTTCACATTTTCGGACGGGAGCGCGCGGGGAAGACACAGGTAGATACAGACACAGTTTTTGCATATATCTACTGCTTACCAGCAGTAGATATATGCAAAAAAAAGGGAGGGTTTAATAACCTTTTAAAAGCCATACTTAAACTCGAGTTCTATGACTTTACCTAGGCTGAGATGATGCCATCAGTCTGCTGCAGGCAGGAAGAATCATTTCTGCAGTCTCCTATTCCCTAGTGATCAGACTGCAACATTTTAAGTTTGTAGAAAGTCACTAGGTATGTCAGACAGTTGTAAACAGCCAAGATCTCAGTCCAGGAAGTAGATGGTGACCCTGGATGATGCCTGAACAAAGATGGCTCAGTTTGTCTAGAAATAAAAACTGATGAATGCATTGTCAGGGGGAGTACAGTGATCTCTGTGAGAGGTAATAAATACTTGGAAGTGTTACACTTACAATTTACTTAGCATACACGGACCTAACATGAAAAAAATCTACTTGTTATTAGGTCCACCTGAAGCACCATGGTCCTGTTAGCACACTCCTATTCTTCCATCAGTGAATAGAGATTAGTGAGTGTGTGTCTTTCCTATCTTTCTGTTTATGAACGGTGGAAAACCCAACTTCTTCTTTGATCGTGTAAGCAGCCATATTTTTTTATAGAAAGTCAACAATTGTTGTCCAAATTATGTTTAAGTTTCAGGGAAACCTGTTCACTGAGCAAGAAGAAAAAGACCAGACAGGAAGAAATGTCTGAGAAGAGAATCCAAGAAGAATATGAAAAGTTGGGGAAAATGAGGTAGACATTTTCATATAGAGAGGAATCCAGAAAGTACACCCCTACCCTCATAAAGATCCTGCGTAGGGAAGGGGGGTGCTTTTTCTGCTGGGAATCAGATTATGATCAAAGTGAAGTTTCTGATTTTAGCAAACAATGAAATATCTGCTGTGCCTGTTTATGCTTTAAAAAAGGGTTTATGTTTTACATTTTTTTGCATACTTTATAAGTGTTTTTGGCATGCTTTATATTGCTTTATATTTCATGTCTTTTTTAATTTCAAGATATACACCTATCAGCTCCAAAACAGACCCTCCTTTAGCCAAAAGAGCTTCTTAAAATCCAGTAATGCTGCTCCATTTCAGACAGGGGATCCCGAGCACTGTGTGAAAACACAAAAACAACACAGGCCGCCTTTCCTGGTGCAAAAAACCTTTTATTAATAAAATTAGGTATACAAAAATATATACTCACAAAGGAAGCATGGGGTAGATATGTTTCTAAGATATACTTCCAAGATATTCCAAGATATACACCGATCAGCGCCAAAACAGACCCTCCTATAGCCAAAAAAGCTTCTTAAAATCCAGTAAGGTTGCCCCGTTTCAGACAGGGGAACTGTTTTTCTGATTGCTCGCTATAGATTTCTGCACTTTGCTCATCTCTATTGCTCTTGGTTCTGCCTTACGGAATAAAACCATGCATGTATTTTTCAGTTACCCAGAAAAGGTGACCGTTTTCTTCTTCATCTTGATGACCCTCCTCTGGTTCACCCGGGAGCCGGGCTTTGTACCTGGTTGGGAATCGTTATTTGAGAAGTAAGTAGATAACACTGATGCAGCAAAAATAAAGGATATTGTCAGTATTAACTGTCCAAAGAACATAGGTGGTGGAGCTGGGTCAGATATTGTGGTCAGTATCCTGGGAATAAAAATCTAAAATGTCACGGGTCACCTCTGGCTGCAACACAACACCTAGGGGAAGCACAGTGCCTTAATGGTTGGCACTTCCACCTTGCAGCACTCAGGGTCCTAGCTTAAATCCTGGTCAGGACACTATCTGCAAGGAGCTTGCATGTTCTCCCTGTGCTTGCTTGAGTTCCCACTGGATACATTGGTTTCCTCCCAAAGACATACTGGAAGGTTATTTGGCCCTGTATGTATTTGCAATAGGGACCTTAGATTGTAAGCTCCTTGGGAGCAGGGACTGATGTGAATGTGCACTGAGCTGCATAAATTGTTGGCACCGTATAAATACCTGTAATAAATTAACTCCTAAGCCTAAGTGGAAGGGGTGTATTTATAATTCGCAGAGCCATTCATCCTGCAAAACCGCATGTATATTTGCTCTGTGCGAATAAGGCAAAAACGAATGTTATTACTATATTTTCTTTCTGTTATATATTGATGTTAAGCATGTCTTCTATTTTAGGAAAGGTTTTAGGACAGATGCCACTGTGTCGGTATTCCTCGGATTTCTGCTTTTTCTTATTCCGTCCAGAAGACCCCGGTTTTCATGCGTCACGAAAGAAGACCCAGGTGAGAAACTCAAAGAAGCTTAAAGTGTATCTCCACTTTTGCAGGCAAAATTGAAAAAAACCTCCACGATATGTTTTCTCATTTACACAATGTTCTCATTTACACATTCATTCTTTAAGGGCCCGTTCACACCAGATGCAGTGCACTCCGGCCCCATTCTGGCCAGAATGCACTGCGTCGCGTTGCGGCCGTCTCACTTTTTTGTGGGGCAGGAGAGGGCGTGGCGGGCCATTGAAGTGAATGGCACCGTTGCCACGCCCTCCGACCGCTATGCGATCGGCCGCACGGGATTGCACTGCCCATTATGCCTGCGGTCTGGTCCAGGTCCGATGCGATCAAAATGCTGCAAGCACTATTTTGATCGCACCGGACCACAGGCATAATGTGCCTTGCGATTTCGTGCGGCCAATCGCATTGCGGCCGGAGGACGTGGCTACGGTGCCATTTACTTCAATGGCCCGCCACGCTCCCTCCTGCCCCACAAAAAAGTGAGCCGGCCGCAATGCGAGGCAGTGCGTTTTGGCCATATTCGTGCTGGAACGCACTGCATCTGCTGTGAATGGGCCCTTACCCATTGTGAGGACAGACACTGTTCCAATCTAGTTTACAAATGATAATGAGATCTACCAGCACAGTACAGACAGGGTTCATTATGTTTTAATTAACGTTAAGTTTAGAATTAAAACAGTCCACTCTAGGTAAAATATATACCAGGAAACAAAGATTTAGGATTTGCAGATTGACACTTTTCTATGATATAAAAAAATGTATCTTTTTAACTTAGTCATTCATGAGACTGAATGTTGAATAGTGCCCCACCTGAGCAGTCTCAGTGTTGGAGCAATCTTGGAAATGCTGCAGCATCTACTCAGAACCAGACAAGCCTTAGAGAGTATCTTGCCAGAAATGAAACCCCTGTAGCAGGGTATGGCTGAAATTTGACTTGTTGCTCTGTGCAGATCACTGTTAAAAGCACACAGCCAATCACATGAGTATACCAGAGGCACTAAGGCTGCTGAGGTGTAATGAGAAGACATTCATTTTTGTCATTTTTTTTAAAATGATATTGAAGTAAAAAGGTTGTTTTGGTATTTAAATGAAATTTATGAACTGGCTTGTGCAGCAATTTAATTTATTAACCAGGGTGGAGCATCCCCTTAAAGATCTAAAGCCTGCCTCAGCCGTGTATAGAAGTTACTGCGCCAGCAGCGACACCGCAGCCATGTGCACTGCGGGTGGGAGTCCTGTGCACCACCCAGTGGCTAAGAGTAGAACTACACTATATTCCTAAATCCAACCAATTTACATTATAAAGCTATAGCTATAAAAGGTGGTCCAAACCGAAAAGTATAAGCCACAAAATATGTCTGCGCTGAGCCAACTCGGTCGGGGAAGACGGAATGTTTTTATTGTGGTCATATTTTAATTAATTCCAATTGTGCGCAGGAAACTGGAGTAAAAGTGCCACAAATAGGCAGACATGACATCAGAGCTTAGAGAAGATCCAGGAAAGGCAAACAATACATCACACATCTGGTATATGAACAGCTCAGCTGTATGCATGTGTCTGCATGTATTGTTTGTCAAAAAAGTTACATAGTGCAATAACAAATTAATATCTGCTTATAATGTCACATGATCCCACAATCGGACCTCCCACATCCCGACATGAAGACAGCTGTAAATGTATAGACACTTGATTAGAACCAGTTTTGATAGTGAGCCAGTCACCACTGGGATAGCTGTAAGAATCCTAATCTCCACTGTTAACTACAGTATTTATAATAGTGCAACCTTACTCCTCATGTATAAGTGTATTTTTTTATTTATTTGTATTCTCTCCCTGTCACCACTGGGGATCTGTAAGACTCTTTATCTCCACTCTTACATTTTTATAATAGTGCATCTTTAGTCCTCATGCATAATTTTATTTTTTATTTGTATTTTCTCCCTGTCACCACTGGGAATCTGTAAAAATCTTAACCTCCACTCTTACATTTTTATAATAGGGCAACCTTGCTCCTTATGTATAACTATTTTTTATTTATTTGTATTCTCTTCCTGTCAACAGTAGTGCTGGGCTTTAAGGTTGTCTTATAACCTGCCAAAGCTCAAGGCAAATACCAGACATTAAAAAACTGCATATAAAAAGAAAAGCTTTATTAAGAGATATTTTAAGTAACTGCAGCAGCTTATCAGTTATCAATCCTGAATTCAGGCAGAAGACAGTTAGGTTTCTCTGAAGACTTTACAGCTAAAAATTGGGCTGACAATTCTGCTTGTACAGGAGAGAATATAAGTGAATTAAAGCACACATAACCAACCCAGAGCAGTGAGGTTCCACTGTTCCCATTTACAACATGTTAGTGGAGATTCAGATTCGTACAAATTCCCATTTCTGACCGAATTTTCCAGTTTATACAAAGTACCAAAACCTTTAATTGTTTTTCTTTCTTTAGAAAACAGCAAGGAACAAGATGATGGTGGGCCCTACCTGGGTGGACCAATGCTGACCTGGCAAGAGTTCCAGAAACATATGCCCTGGGAGATTGTGGTACTGGTCGGAGGGGGCTATGCCCTGGCAGCTGGCTGTAAGGTAACATCTGACATCTATCCTTCTATATATGACAGCTAGAATGTCACTGGGCAAAAATACATCTACCAGCTCTATCTATCTATCTATCTATCTATCTATCTATCTATCCCTGTGCTGAGTTGCCAGGTCTGTACACCTGCTGTGCCCATTATGAGGGCTTCCCTCCATTCCCTGTGCTGAGTTGCTAGGTCTGTACACCTGCTGTGCCCATTATAAGGGGTTCTCTTGATCCCTGTGCTGAGTTGTCAGGCCTGTATACCTGTTGCGCCCATTATGAGGACTTCCCTCCAACCCTGTGCTGAGTTGCTAGGTCTGTACACCGGCTGTGCCCATTATGAGGGGTTTTCTCGATCCCTGTGCTGAGTTGCCAGGTCTGTACACCTGCTGTGCCCATTATGAGGGGTTTTCTCGATCCCTGTGCTGAGTTGCCAGGTCTGTACACCTGCTGTGCCCATTATGAGGGGTTTTCTCGATCCCTGTGCTGAGTTGCCAGGTCTGTACACCTGCTGCACCCATTATGAAGGCTTCCCTACAACCCTGTGCTGAGTTGTCAGGTCTGTACACCTGCTGTACCCAATATGAGGGCTTCCCTCCAACCCTGTGCTAAGTTGCCACAGAAAAATACCACCTGAGAAACCATCGCCCACTTGATTTGACAGTTAACATGCTCCTCATAGTTTAGCAATAGCAGATAGTTCCATGCTTGCGCTTCATTAACAAGTTCCTCCTGTTCCTTGCAGACTTCAGGACTTTCCACCTGGATTGGCCGTCAGATGGAATGTCTCAGCAGCCTCCCATCCTGGGCAGTCAGCCTCCTAGCCTGCGTCCTCGTCTCTGCGGTGACCGAATTTGTCAGTAACCCGGCCACCATCACCATCTTCTTGCCCATATTATGCAGCCTGGTAAGGTATTAACCCCTCACTGGCTGTATTAGGCAGATGCAATATGAGGCCTGAGAATGTTTTGTACTGCACAGACATATTACGGTATAATCATATTTCTGGATGTCTAATCAGCTTGGCAACACTAACAGTAGGGCTTAAGTCATAAATTAAGAAACTGCTAGGAGGTAGAATCTTTTTTTGGCAGACGAGACACGCAAACTATAGAACCACTGCTCTGCATTATTGTAAACCCGCAGTAAAAGGTAAACTCATGCTGAAAGTATATCCAGAGCTGGTTTTTATTTTAGGATTTTGGATAGAACAAGGGATTAGAAACCTTGTCTCTCCCCCTTTGGGGGAACACCACCAGTTTCATAAGTTACCTCTAGTGAAGAATCTCCTATGTCCTGCTGGCTACTGTAAAAAAAAAACATCCCTTCAGTGACACCCCCTACTCCAAACAGCAGTGTTTGTCCGGCACTGCAAGCAGGAGAGACTGCGGCTGTTATTGAGAAGAGATTGAGCCATTTCCATTTCCATCCACTTGCCCATTCACAAAACTCCTTGAATTATTTTCCCAAAATGCAAGGCATTATGTGAATGGGCAAAGGCTGTTCTGTCATTCATCTGTCCCTCGTCCATTCACAGAACGCCTTGCATTCTGAGAAACATTTTTTTAATGATTTTTTTTTTCACAATAACCAGCAGCCAGCAGGATATAAGGGATTCTTCATTACAGGGCATCTATGTGACTGGTGCTGTAGCCCCTCAGTAAAGTTTTACTTTATCCAAAACCGTGCATCTTGTTTGCCGCATTTGGGGTGCCATTAACAAATAATGGTACGGCAAGATTGTGCGTTTTGTGTGTTGTGTGAATGGGGCCTTACCGCCTATACTTCACTGTCTAGTAGAGCATACTGGGAGGTGTGTTTTCATAGGAGCTGGAGTTATACAATAAAAATCATTTTCCTCTTCAACAACAATGGGGGCAATTGATCAAAACTGGAGCAATGCAAATCTGCTCCAGATTTTGTTTGCTCCAGTTTTGATAAATTCCCCCCATTGTATTTTATTTTCAGAGATAATATACAGCACTGGACGGGACTGCTTTATTACTATGTTAGCATTATTACTTTTTATAGTGTATTGGCTGCACTGTACCATGTGCTATAGAAAACGTATGGTGTCGATATATCGATATGATTATTTAATCAATCATTTGATGGGTACATAGTTACCTAGATCTATCAGAAATAGTATAGTATCAGTATAATGCCATGTTTTGCCAATGTTACATTTGTAACACTCGCATGTACTTAACATGAAAAAAATACATTGGACACTACGTCCACTTTCTGTTGTTTTACCTTGAGTGATTTGAACAAAGGTGGCATTTTTTTCTCTCTTGCAGTCGGAGGCTCTTCATATTAACCCTTTATACACGCTCATACCAGTTACCATGTGCATCTCGTTCGCTGTAATGCTTCCAGTGGGTAATCCGCCGAACGCCATTGTATATAACTATGGGCACTGCCAGATTAAAGACATGGTAAGGAAAATATTTTCTAAAAATATATTCTAAAGGCTTAGAAGGAGAAGGCAGGGCCGGCCTAAGGGCAACCCCGCCTCTTATATCACTGGCCAGCGACCTAAGAGCAGGTGGGGCCAATGATGTAAGAGGAGCCGGGGCCCGTCAATAGAAGAGGAGGCGGGCCCCTAGATTGTTCACTTCTCCTGCCTTCTCCAAACTCTTCACCCTTTTGTGAATAACCCTGCAAATCTTTCTAAAGTAAGGGAAGTTCTCTCTTAGACGGATGTCATTGGAATAGATGCCACCATTGAAGCATTTCCCCTGTTCCCATAATGTCAGGAGTGCCAATGGTCTGGCAGAAGAACAAGGTGGAACTCACTGGCAGGAAATGGCCTGAAGCGTCCGAAGGCAGAGGTACAAAAGGGTAAATCCAAAGAGAAGTCAAGTCCAATCCGAGTCGAGGCAGGCAGCAAAGGTTCAGGGGCGAAAGGCAGTCCAAGGTCGGCAACAGGAGGTCCAGATAAAGGGGGTCAGGAAACAAAGCAAGGCACATGTACAGGGAGCTAGGAAATCACACCACAGGATGAAATAACTCAGCAACAAGCCAGAGCTCTGGCCAGGTTTTTATAGCCAGGGGGTGTAAGTCCGCCCCCCTGTCACCGAGGCAACTAGGAGGCTTCTCTCCACGAGAGCCAATGGCAGGCGAGAGGTGGTATGGGTGTGTACGGGAACCTCCCCCAGCTAGGTCCACACCTGAGGCCTAAACAGGTGCAGGCACACTATGCACGTGCTCCTGGGGATGCGCACGCAGCCTGCGTACTGCGCATGCGCACCTGCCGCACGACTCGCGCATGCGCACCTGCAACCCGGGCACCAGTGGTTCTGCCAGGCTGGAGGGAGACCCGTACCCTGCGCCGTGCCCGCTGACCCTGTGGGGAGGTGACACCCCTGGTTTCCTGACACATAACAAGTAAAAATGTTGGATTTCTCATCTATTTCAGCCCCGGTCACGATCAGTACTATACTAGGACTAAGTAGAGAGGGTAAAAAAGACAAAAAGTACAGAAGCGCACTACCAAGTGGTGACTGAGCAAGGAAAGGTAAAGGAAAAGTAGAGAGGGTAAATCTCCCCATTGGGGTGACTAGGTTGCTAACCCTTTTCTACTCCATCCAATAGGATTTGTAACTAATGCTGATGGAGGAAAGGGGGCATAAAATGATCCTGTGGACATTATGATGGGTTTCTGCTCTGACTGGTTATATTTCCATAACATTGGTATTTTATGGAAAGTAAAACAGAAGGAGTGGCAGCACCTTAGTGTAGGTGGGGAAACACAATTTTCTACAGTGATTGATAGCACACAGCAAAGAACTATGACATGGGAGTTCTTACCAAAGGAGCCCCAAATGACTGAACTCAAGATTTCACTCCTCAGTCTTCTCCTATAACCAAAGAACATTTTTGGTGGACTGCTCACTTTAAGGTTCACTTGACTACTTTTGAATGTTGTCTTCTTGCAGGTAAAAGCTGGCCTGGGAGTGAACCTGATTGGCCTGAGTATCATCATGGTGGCTATTAACACCTGGGGCATCAGCCTCTTCCAACTGGACACATTCCCGGAATGGGCGATGATTCACAACACCACGGAGCACCTGTGAGGATCGACCAGGACTGTTGGAGCATCTGTGTCACGCCAACAGAACGGAGAGCACTAGAGAGTTCCCAACAGGCCTGTAAGAGAGCTGCACACCAAAGGACCGCACACCACTTCACCGACAGCTGCTGTCTGCTTTTGCATGACCTTAAATGTATTTCCTTTAAATCTCCCCCATTACACCTGTTTGTGAGGCAGGTGTTCTAGAGACCCTGTAGCATTTAAAGCCCTGGTTCTCAACTAGTGGGTCGTGACTTAAAAGTGGTTCGCAACCCCATCTTCAGTGGGTCACGGCATCCTTAGTCGAGAGCCCTCCTGCCCCATTCAGCAGGGAAACAGAGAGGGGGCTTTTTGTGGCAGTGTGCAGGAGACTCCTATATATTAAGAAACAGTTCCATCTCTCACTGGGCCCCCTGCTGAAGTGATAGGGCCCTGGGAGAGAGGGGACTATTTCACCACTTTTGGCCTATCAGGGGGTGCATTAGCAGGGGCTCGTTTTTTACAAGTGAACTGTGTAACATGCTTGTGTAGTGCTCCTCCCGCACCACCACCTGGTGTAGTTTTGGGGGTCCCCTGCTCTTTTGGGGGACCCGGGACCACGGCAAATTAATTCAGGATGGAGAGAAAATGTTCAAAAATTTGAAATAAATAAATAAAATGCAAATAAAAAAAAAATTAAAACCAACCCCGCCGCCCCATCTGCCTGCGAATAACCCCGCCCATGGGGAATGCATGTGTACTCAATTGACAATTGCACCACATGTTAGGTATCACAGCGAATATCAAATTATTTTTGGGTCGCGACCTAATGAGCAAGGACAAATGTGGGTCCTGAGGTTACACAGGTTGAGAACCACTGATTTAAAGCATTCACAAGGCAAAACACCTGTAAGCCTCAGAAAAGGTTATTTCAGCACCCCAGAATTGATGCTTTTATCTTACACGGGTATTCTTCTTTTTAACAGGGTCCCTTTAAGAAGACTGTGCATAGAATAGTGAATTATGTCATGAATTTCTAGTTTTGAGGTGAATAGAGACCTAAAGCAGGTGAATCTGTACACGCAGAACAAAGCAACAGGCCGAATTTAATTGGGTCATCCTTTCCTGTGCTTCCCCCAGCACACCGTTCAGTCGTGAAACTGTGCAAAAGCTGTTTAAAGTGAACCTATCACAACAATAACATGAAAGCTGCCACTGCTAACACCCTGAAAATTATAGTTGCTAGACTGCTCTACTAATCCTCTTGAATTACTAACATGGAGCAGGAATGCAGATGCCTGATCTGCATATGTGTTCCAGATCAGAAATCCAGAAAATATAAAAGCCAGGGGGGTCAGCCAAACAGACAGTCAACTAGAACTTTCAGGGGGAATTCAGCAATGGCGGCCTGTTTTTTCTTACAACAGGTTTTATTCAATACTTGCCGTTCTTGGGAAATGCCCTTCAGCCAATGGGTCATGTGACCAATGTAGCAACACATCACATGGTCTCTGGTGAAGAAGTTTGGGGGGAGTGAGATTCAGGCCTACCGGCCAACCAACTCTACTACCTTATGGCTTTCTCCAAGAAAGGCATTAAGCAATGGCTGTTGCTAGATATTGGTTTACGGCACAGGATAGGTAAAGCCAAGAAAAGCTTCACACTACAGTGGAGCGTGGAAGTCACTGTGTTGTGTGGAAGTCACAGATCCATGCTTTGTTCCCCATCATTGGATACAAACCGATAGATGGCAGACCTGGCTGTCCTAGACCTGTAGTAAATGAAGCTTACTTGTTTTGTAAATACTGTTGTATTATTTGATCAACAAAGCTCCTTAGAACCCTAGTCCTGAGGGTGTTGCCACACATAAAACTGGGGAGGGAGCAAAACGTCATGGGAACCCAACTAGTTTTCTGTTCAGTCAAGACACACTAAACAGGATGAAAAGTGGCCACACAAAGAAGCTCATTTTCAATTGGGTCATGTGTACCCATTAAACACAGGACAGAGAGTGCCAGACAGATATTGAAGACCAGATATAGTTTCCCATTAAAAAGCCAACACCTTCCGGGGCTAAAGGGGCTTCCTTTGTCAAAGCTTAAAGAGGAACTCCAGGAATTGTAAACGTGTAACCCTTGCAGTGGGGCTACTCCTGCACATTTTGCGCTAGCGGTTAAAATAAAGACATACTCACCTGATCCGCACTTCCCTCTGACTGCTAGACCGGTCCCCAGAGCCTCTTCATCCATGGGCTCCAGTGGCCTAAGGGCCTGTGGCGTTATCACATCTAATGCAACTGCCTTAGACATGAGGACGCAGAGGGACATTCCAACACCGGAGCGCAAAAGAAGTGTGTGCTGTCCGAGGATCAGGTGAGTATATCATCTTTAATCCAGCCCCTAGAGAACAACCCTTACAGTGCGTGGGGGTAAATTTTTTCAATTTCTGAACTTCCTCTTTAAAGATGCACGAGAACAAAGATCCAGACAAGAAGAGATCAATATACAGTATTGTGCATAGGATTTCTGGAGGCCAGTGTCTTGTCCAACATCTTTAGAGTAGGCGTGAACACTAACTGCATAACTTTTATTTTGCTGGCATGGTGTATGATAAACAGTTGTCCTTTTTTTGTGAATAAAACACCCGTTTTTGCCTTTTTTTTTTAACCCTGATCTCGTCCATCCATTTGCTGTATACATGAGCTTCAGCACACTGCACATCATTTCTCAGGCCAGGTTGTGTGATGGTGACAACAGGTCTTGTGCAATGTGGGTCTCCATGGCTGCTTGTAGTCTCCATAGGGAGAGTGTTTAATAGGTGGACAATGCAGGAGAGCATTTTGTAGACAGGGACAGAATGTTGTCACCTATAACAGGAAGTGCCTAAATACAGACCTTTATGAAAAGGATCCCCAGTGATTATTTTATTGAAAACTGCAGATTTGAAATATTGAAAATGACTTAAAATTATAGTAACGAGATTATTAGCTTAAAAGGAGAACTGTTGTGTCAGGGCTTTTCCCCATAGTTCTCCTAAGGGTAACGGGAGGACACAAACTAGCGTCCTCCCGTGACCCAAAGCTCAGCAAACCGCGAACTACAGCTCGCGGTATACTGAGACGCCGCAGCCGGGACAGATCCTGACAACACTGTGTGGATCCACCCAGCTGCGGAATGGACAGTTGGCTCTGCCTATCTGGAGGCAGAGGCAGCTGTGCCCGCCCCCTCCCCCGTCCGTTTCGCCAATCAGCGCTGGAGGATCGGAGCGGGGGTAATCCCTGCAGGGAGCAGTGAGTGGCAGTCACGGCTCTCTGCAGGGATAGATCGAGAAGTGAGAGAGCGACGCTATGTGTTCGCTCACTTCCCGATCTACTGAGCCGACCTGTGAGTTTCATTGTCACAGGTCGGCTCAGATTATGAGGCTGAGTGAAAATCACTCGCCTCATAATTCTCCTTTAATAGCCAACACTTAATTTTTTTAGTTTTGGATAGAGTGGGGGAAGGATAAGGACTTGTCAGGTTTTTCTGCCATCGGTGACTTTGTTAGATACATTCACTTCCTGTCTGATAAAAAGGTTGTCCCCAGAAATGAAAGTGAGGGGAAATCTCTATAATGGAGCCCTGGATAGTAGGAAGCCCTGACCTTATAAACTTTTCCCAATTCACAAAAAAAAAAGTTTTCTACATAGGTTTACAATTTTAGTGCCTGGTTTACATATCCTTTAAGCCCTGCCGAAGGAGGCCCTTTAGTACCCTTGAAACATGTTGGCTTAAAGTTGAAGTTTCACCTGCATATATTGAGCTTTCCCTGGTTCAGACTCTCCCTCCCCCCTGCGCCCCAACATGCTAATTAAACTTTTAAGCAAAACCTGTTTTAATTATATACCTTAACACATGGTGATGTCACCACTGGGTCTCTATGCAATGCAGGCAAAACAGCACCCGGCCTCGGTACTCCTCTCAAGATCCCTCAGCCCTGATGCAAGCATTGGGGTGGCCCTTCGGAGGAATTATGCAAATATCAGAATGCCTTGATGGGTCGATGAGTCTGGGGGAGTGAGTGTGTCTAGGCAAGCTGTATTTACATGCATAACGCCATTGCCCACATGTGATGCTGAGGTTCCAATATTGAAAAAAATCCAATGAAAAAAATTGCCACATTCAGGCTGGGGAGGAAAGAGAAAGATGATACTGGTCATCCTGCAGCCAGGAAATGAGGCAAGCTCTTTCTGACTTGCCACAGATTGTAATGCATACTGTAAGCAGCTCATGGTGTGCAGTGAAATCAGAGTAAGCAATGCCAGTCCAGGAGAGGAGCCGGAACAACTGTGCAAGACTGAAGGGAAGGCCGGAGTTCAGCTTTAAAGAAAAACAACCAACTATAATTGGACTTCAGTATTTTTCTGGCTCCCTTTGTCCTGTGTTCCTCCAAGAGGGGAACTGTGAAGTTGAGTGCTGCCTCAATATCAGAAGTCAACTCCCATTGTGACACAGGGATCGTTCACACCAGCCCGTGCGTTCCAGCCGCAGTGTGATCGGCCGCACTGGAACGCGCGGCACATCAATGCCTACGTTCCGGTCAGAAAAATGCTGCCTGCACTATTTTTTTTGACCGGAAGGCATTGATGTGCCACATGTTTCCGGTGCGGCCGATCGCAGTGCCAGTGTGGTTGCAGTGCCATTGACTTCAAACAAAGTGAGCAGGTTGGGATGCGATCCAGTGCGTTCTGGTCACAATCGGGCCGGGAACGCACTGGGGCTGGTGTGAACTAGCCCTGGACCACATTAGGGGATCCAGCCTTTCAGAATTCCAATCCTTTGTACATGCCCCTGGCCAGTTATGGTGACAGCATTACAGCACTGTTTATTCGATCACACCAAGATGTACACTATTTTAATTGCATTCTGGTTTATACACACAGGGCTGTTTGGAATTGATCATCATTAATGGAAACAAATGACGACTTGTTTTCATAGTAATAGTTACTAAACTTTATTAAACTCTTTAAAGCTAAAAGCGGCAGTTATCTTTCAGAAGATCGAACATTCAGCTAGTTTTCCCCTCACAGAGTCAACTTCTATATGCGCGCCGCTGGCGCAAGAGGGCAGAACGTCCTGCAAGTGTTGGAAATGAACAATAACGTTCCCGAGCGTGTACGTCCTCAATCCCATCTGCCCGAAGGAGCTTATAGATGTATAGATATGTACACCGGAGGCCCAGGAATTCCAGGACAGGACGCTGCATTAAGACTTGTCGCTCGGGGGTTTCTTTTTGGCTTCTAGATCTTTCTTAAAGTTTTCCACCTTCTTTCCGAAGTCAGGCACCTTAAGCAGAAAGAAGGCAAAACAAAATGTAAAGCTACGTTTACTTTTCTGACCATTTTTTTTTTTTACACCCATATTTGGGGTGTAACATGAAACATGGCCACAGACAGGGAGATTTTATATACAAAGAGTTAATACCACAGACGCCAGCACCAATACCTGTGTGGAAAAGGTGTAATGATGCACTCTGGAGGCTGCTCACGCTGGTCTGGGGTAACCACAAGAACTGAAATAAAAAGGAAAAAAGAAAGCGCCTCCATCGTGTAAAACAGTTTTATTAGGACAATATAAAAAGGAGTAAAAAACACTCACAAATTAACTTAAATAAACACGCATATAATGTGTATCGGTAAACACAGATACTGAGATTGTGAGGCTCCAACACAGCCGACAAACTGCATAGCCCTCTTGGTTGATGCGTTTCAGAGGAAGGAGGCGTGTCCTGAAACGCATCAACCAAGAGGGCTATGCAGTATGTCGGCTGTGTTGGAGCCTCACGATCTCGGTGTCTGTCTTTACCGATACACATTATATGCTTGTTTATTTAAGTTCCTTTTATATTGTCATAATAATAAAACAGTTTTACACGATGGAGGCGCTCTCTTTTCCTTTTTATTTCAGATTTTACAAACCTTTGAAGGGTGCAGTGACTGAAGAAAGCTTGAGGAATGCTAGTTTAACTAATTCACTAGAACGCAGTAGTAAATTTAGAAGTGGGGTTTGTGTAATCAAATCTATCTAATTTAGTTTTTAAAGGCCCTG